ACTGTCTGCCTGGGTTTTGCTTTTTATCAGCCACAGTAAATATAAAGGTTGCTTCTCAGTTTCGTTCTGTAAACATATGATTGCTGCTTCCTGCAGGAATTGAGATTAGGCATCCCTGGCTTGGGAATTTTTTTCAGAAAGAATAAAAGGCTTCTTTGGCTTTGTCTTTTTATGAGGATGCTTTGCATCCTGCTCACATGCCTTGTAATGTAATCTCAAGACACAGCTGTTGTTTTAGAGAGTTCATTCATGTCAGCAGCAATTAAAAGATCTTTTGTTTTCCAAACATGCTTTCCCAGCTTGCCTTGAAGAGCTTTGCAAACAATGATTCGTGCAGCTTGAGGAAAGAGATACGACCTCTTGTAGCAATGAGTTAGAGCATGCTTACTAGATTGGATGAAAATCAAACCACTCTCTTGGAATTACTGTGTTACCCTGTTTTTTTGTTTTGTTTTCATTATAGATATTAAAATGGATGCATACTTGGGACTTGAGCCTTAATGGCCTGATTTTTGCCTCTTCCAGGTGAGGTGTGCCCTCCAGGCGAATATCTCAAGGGCTTCCTGTGAATGCTTTTGGTATCAGGTTATGGGCACCTGGAGAATGGAAAATTGAAGGAGAGACATGTATGATTTCAGAGCACTAAATGGCTGGTTCTTTTCCTGACAGTCCTGTTATCCTCTCTCAAGAATGAATGAATCCGTTCCTTTAGGATCAGAGAAAGTATGCACAGCATTGCTTTATCTGACTCTTCCAACTGTGGAGTGGGGTCTCACATGCATTAAGATAAATGCCTGTTGTGAACATTCACAAATATTACTGCCGTTAGTACATCTGTGTATCTTGCAGATTGCTATTTGTACACTGTTTCTCATTTTAATTATTTGCATGTGTGCCTGTTGTGCTGGTGGTTAGAGAGATAATCAAATAACAAACCCTTCCTGTTTTTGTTAATTTCTAGATTTCTTTGGACTTGGGGGAAGGAGATAGAAGTGGAGATGGGACCGGTGAAAGGGAACTAACTAAAACCACTTATTTATAACAAGTTAAAAAGTTGTTGTACATCCAGGGGGAATGTTTTCCCCTTACTTTAAAAATAAATGGAACAAGCTACTGAGATAGGAAAACATAAATAGTCTGGGAAACATATAAAGGTAAAAAAGGAAAAAATATTTGAAATTCAAGTTCCATAACTCTACAGATTATATAAAGTCTGTTGACATTATGAGCAAGAGTATCAGGCATACATTGTAATGGATTTTTTAAAAGTGGAGTTTTGGTGCACACATATCTTGGCTCTATTGCAGCCATACGATTAACGTGACTCAAAACTTCCCTGAGATGTAACGCTGCCCCGGAGATCACAAACCCTTGTCACAGTGTCCGAGTCCTAGGGAAAGGCAGCCAGAGCTGCACAAGCTGTGCCATCCTGGTCTGTCTGTATCACAAGACATTTTTCTTATTCTGCCTTTATGAAAGGAAAGATCCACCTAATCCTCTGTAGAGTTAGACTGGGTCTTACATCACCAGTGAAAACTGACTGACTGCATAGAGGAGGAAGCAACAGCAGAGAGATTAAGTGATTGCCCGGGTCATACTCTTCTTGTGAGAAAGCCAAGACCTAAACCCATGTCTTCTGACCAAGGCGATCTTGAATATCAAATTAGAAAACTTGCCACGACTGTACTAGATGCTGTCGACTGAGTGTTTGTGCCCCCCTCCAATTTTCATATGTTTGTCGAAACCTAATCTGCATGCAATGTGATGGTGTTTGAAGGTGGGGGCCTCTGAGAGGTGACTGGGTCATGTGGATGGAGTCCTCAGAAAGGGGATTAGTGTGCTTATAAAAGAGACCCCAAAGAACTCCTCACACCTTCCACCCCCTGCGTGAGATGATGGTGACTATGGAAGCAGGTTCTCACTAGACAGCAAGTCTGTTGGCACCTTGATCTTGGACTTCCAGCGCCAGAACTGTGAGAAATGAGTTTCTGCTGTTTAAGCCACTCAGTCTATGATAGTTTGATATAGTGGCCTGAACTATGACTAGGGTTTTTTTTTTACAGTTTTATGAAGACATATTTTATTTACCATACAATTCACTGATTTAAACTGTATAGTTCTGTGGTCTTTAACATGCGAAGAGTGCAGTCATGACCGTGTGTTAGAGCATTTCGGTACTACTGAAAGGAAACCTGTCCCCATTAGCCGTTGCTTCCCCAGCCCTAGGAACCGCCAGTCTCCTCCCTGTCTTTACGGGTTTGCCTCTTCTGGACACGTGGGATCGATACAATATGTGTTCCTTTGTGACCGACTCCTCTCACTTGGCATGATGGTTCAAGGTTCATCCATGTTGTGGCATGTATCACTACTTTATGATTTTTATTGCCACATAATATTCCATGGTATGGACATACCACATTTGTTTATCCATTCATTAGTTGATGACTGTTTAGGTTGTTCTCATTTTCTGGCTATTATCAATATTCACAGCAGTTCACACTGCTGTGAATATTGTGGGCAATTTTTTGTTGACATGCTTTTATTTCTCATGTATGTATATCTGGGAGTGGAATTGTTGGATCATGTGGCAACTCTATGTTTACTATTTTGAGGAATCACCAAACTTAAAAACATTTAAGAATACATCTCTAAGATAATAGGAACAAAAGTATACAATTGGGAAGAATTAGCCAATTTCCTTAGACATCATATCAAACTTGAAAAAGATTTTCTTGGTGTGTATGAGAAAAAGCATAGAACATAGAAACCACAGAGACTGGAATTTATATTTTGTATAATTTCAGAGAAAAGATTGCTTAGTTCTTTCTTTCTTCATTTCTCACCAACTTGTGAAGTCCATTGTATTCCTGATTCTGCCTCTTTGGAGCTGTTTCTGTGTTTTTTACCTGCAAAGGTGGATGTGAAGTCATCCAGGACAGGTCAATTCTGTGGCTATTACATGAGATCTATGTAACACCTCTCCTCTGTTAACCTCTGTGTCACCAAGGCCAAAATAAACGTTTTCTTGAAACAGTTTTTACAGGCCCTGGCTGATGTAGCTCAGTGGATTGAGCGTGGGCCTGCAAACCAGAGTATCGCGGTTCGATTCCCAGTCAGGATACATGCTTGGGTTGCAGGCCAGTTCCCAGCAGAGGACACACAAAAAGCAACCATACATTGATATTTCCCTCCCTGTCTCCTTCCTTTCCCCTCTAAAGATAAATAAATAAAATCTTTAAAAAAGAATTAGATTGGCTTTAAAAAACCAAAAAGCGTTTTTATAAGTGGCCTTTAAGAAAAAGGGGATAGGACAGGAAGAGCCACCACTGAACATCAACGAGCAAGTTCAAGGCTGTGGTGGGAATGTGGCCCCATAGTGTTGCTGCTTTTTCCCTTCTACTCATTCATCAATGTTAAGTCTATTTTCATTAGCATTTGGGATTCAACTTATTCTAAAAGTAAACATTTGCCCCAAAACATTATCTAAAAACACAGAAAGATGGTTATCTAATTTTCCTTGATGGAAGATTACAGACAGAAAATAAGGCACCTAACAGGACATTTCAGTGAGACGGTATCCACAGAAAAAATGCTTAGCATCTTGTGGAGAAGATTCAGTTTTGCTACTGCCTACTTTTGTGACTAGCAGCTTCTCTGACACTTCATACCCAAGCATCAATATCTTTAAACAACAAAGAACTTTTTTTTTTGTTATTTTTGTCCCACTGAAGAAAAAAAGGGAATCCAGCAAGGTGCTGTTTCTGGAGAAAAATGACCTGCATTGTGAACATCTCCAATTATTTGCCTCTGTTCGTATAACTTGCTCTTCACTCTCTCAAAGTTCTCATTATTCAAAAATCACTTACCACTAAATTATAGAAAAATAGTTTCTCCTAGAGCAGAAGTGAAGGGAAGCTGGCCTGAATCAATAAACAATTACAAGGCTCTCAAACCATCAACCAGACGCCACTGAGGACACATCACCTGTTCTGGTCTCAAGGCACATGGCGCCAGTTTATGGACAGTCCGGAAGGGTCATATTTTCTCTTCCCTGGAACTGATGGTCCCTGTCACCTCAACTGCAGAGAGAGTTTTTCTTTGCAGGAACAAAAACATATGAATGTTTGGAGGGACCTGTTTGTTTTCTTCGTGGTGTGGTTGTATCCGCGACTGCCCGGCTGCAACAGAGGCCGCCAGCCAGTGAGGCCTCAGCGCAGACTTGTCTGTTGTGAGCAGTAGCATCATTGGATTTCTTGAAGCCTCAGTTTCTTCATTTGTGAATTATAAGTATACATGCTATGTTTTTTTCTAAGTTTTAAAAAATATGTGTATAGTACTTAGCACATGTTATATATGGCAGACACTCGGGTGCTCTTACTTTTTCTTTCCTTTGCAAAGAATCCTGAGGCTGCTTGAGTGACAGTGTGGTCAGAGCCAGGGGGTTAGTCATGACTCTTTTAATGGCATCATGGCCATCTCATTTTTCATTGCTATGGTTGGTTTGGGGGCATGAAATCCAGTTCCAGCCAGTGTTATGAAAGGAGAAGACTTCTGGAGCTTCTAGGAGAGACTGTCCAGCCTGGAAGGACAGAGGGCTGAGAGGAAACATTCCCTCTGAGTTTGGGGTTTATGTGCAGAAGCAGTCAACTGGCTGTGGCCAATGTGAGTGTGAAAAGTCAGGACCGAGGATACAGCCTTGGTGGTGGGTCTGGTCCTCGTGTCGTCATGGCGCAGCCAGGGGACCACCTCGCCCAGCAGTTTGTTAACAAACAATGAATATGATGAAACCACTTCGAGTCAGATTTTCTATTATGTGTAGCCAGAAGCATCCAACTCAAAAAGTAGACTGATGTTGTATGTATTAATGATCAATATATTTTGAAAGAGGTAAATAACCATTTTCATTGAATTGACAAAAAATAACCCAACTTAATTCCAACTATAGTTTTTTTAGAAGTTGAGAAATTTTAGGAGTTTAGAAATATTCTTTTTCAGAAAAATTCTAATAAAATTTAGCTGTGATAATCAGCTACATTTTATTTTAAAACAAAGCAGAAAGCCATACAATTTACACATTGGAAGGGAATTTAATAATTATTTTAGAGTCTAATATTAAGATCATTTTCCTGCTTCTAATTAAAGGGCTCATTAAAACCATCTCAAGATAGAGAACTGAGGTTTCAGAATCTTTAAAAAACACAACCTACAGAATTGCAAAATTTCTAGATAATTCTGTATTAGGGTCAGGTAGTATGCTAAGTGGAAGGGTTAATAATTTTGGGTGTAGAAGGATAGATTCATTCTGAATCCCCCATGGCAAAATAACTGATCTTTTGTCTTCATAATTTACATGAAAGAAGTTTTAATTACACAGATAACATTTACCATACAGAAGAAACAATTTCTGCTGTATTTTCATTCCTCCAGCAGAAATCTTACTCTTTACTTTGTTCTGTTTCTATATGACAGACCACAAAACTGAGAAATATAAAATTTCTGTAAATACCAACAACAGAAGTCTGAAATATTCTTGGATTTTATTACACCCTATGGTATCAAGCAGGAATGTAAATCTTCTTTTGTCTTTGCCTTGAAAGCTGCAGATGTATGCTTTCTGTCACTTTCTTTAAAAAATTAGTAAGAAATGGAACATAACTCAGGCAATTTTATATATAGGAGTTAGGGCTTAGTATTGGGTCTTAGCTTTCTCCTGCATGTGGGGGTAGAGGTGCAGCTGGTAGGAGACTGGCCGAGTCTGTAGGCAAGTCCTTCACCCATCTTCCTGAGGGAGAGAGTGGACGCTGTACCACGTGATTCTGAGTACAACCCTGTGGGAGCCGTAGGATTTAATCATGGTTAAAAATGGGCATATTTCTCAAAAAGGAAGCACATCCTAGTGCTTGGTCAGGTAGAAGCTGGCCAGCAGTCACGATTGCTTTTCTCTGGCTGCATTTCACTTTTATTGCTTGGTGAAAGGAAAGCACAGGGTGGAGCAAAAGTAGGTTCACAGTTGTGAATGTGTGAAACAGTTTATTCTTATATTCTCATTTACTAATTACTGTATTGCTTTCCATATGGACAACTGTATACCTACTTTTCACCACCCTCAATACCCCAAACATTGGTAATATCAAAGTATTTTTGTTAAATGCTTTCATTTGCAAAATATGACTTTTTTCCACATCAAACCTGTGATACATTTTTTCACTTTTAAGTTTACAAATTGGAAAAAACAGGCCCAGAGATTAGTATGTCCTGGGTGGATGGACTTACACAGCAAAAAATTAGCTCCAATCTCCTGTTTCCAACTTTCTCCTGTCCCCTTTTCTCTCTCCACCAGAATTAATGGCTGATCCACTCGGGATCAGACTTGGGGTCATGTTTACAGGGCTGCCTTAATCATTGTCCAAGGAGCTTGGCAATTTATAGACTGTTCATAACTAGAGGCAGCTTTTCTCCAAATGAGAAAATTGCAAATAATGAAAATCTACTCAAAAGTTACTTAAAATCAAAATAAGATATTAGTTATACTTAATGAAAACACATGCGAAATGTTCTTATTGGCACTTCGGGTACTGGTGAAATACCGTTGAGCCTGTTAGCAGGCTGAAAATCGAGAAAGCTCGCCTTTCTTTCATGTTTCAGGATGAGAATGGAGAAGAAAACAGGCTGAACGTGGCTGGAAAATTCTTGGGTAGTCTAATGGTCGCTAATGGTCATGTACAATTCAGTTCTGTCTCTCTCTAGAGTTTAAAGGTTGGGTAAAAAGCCTCAGGTTCAGAAATCTGAATTGATTTTCATTGTTGCAGCTGCTTGCACTGAAAACCCTAGAAACATCCCTGAATGTTCTCTTCCTCTTGCACCCTACCTCTGATATGTCGCCAAACCCTGACCTTTCACCTTCAAAATGCGCCCACACGCCATCATTTCTCACCACCTCCTCTGCGAACGCCCATCTCTCCCCCATCTCTCCACCATCTCTCTCACCTGGAGGATTTTCGTGGCCTTCAAAGTGGTCTGCCTGTTTCTCCCCTCGTTCTCTTGAGACTGTTTTAAACACCTAGGGTAGAAGTCCTGTAAAATGTTAGTCAGGTCATGTTACTCCTCCGTTTAAAACTCACCAACGGCTTCCTTTCTCACTCAGCAGTTCCCATCTCGCCAACCAAGTCCTTTCGGTGGCCGACAGGGCCTATCATCTGCCCCTGTTAACTCTCCAGCTCCATCTCCTACTATGCTCCCCCACTCATGTACCCTAGCCATTGTGATCACTTGCTGTGTATCTTCTCCCCCCAGCCCAGAGAAGAGTGCCTGGCACATAGCAGGTGCTCAGTAAATTTTGGATAAATAAGTGGTAACTGAGGTATACTCAGGGCTTATAATGTCTTCTGCAATCCACAGAAATTTTGGTTTAAATCTTCCCTTTTGTGATTAGCTCCTATCTCTCTTATGAATTCTGGGAAACTTACATTCTTTTTAGTTTCTATCACCTCTGAAGTCTTCATTTCCACTCTGCATTCTGCTTGTCCACGTGAGGTCCCTTCCTCCGCATCCTGTTGTCCTGGTGGGAGGGTGGCACTGTTCAGGTTCTTCAGCCTCCAGAATTCTCTATATAGTTGTCTTTGTTAAATATTTCAAATAATGGAGGAGATGATGACACCTAAAATTAAATTACAGGCAACACCTAAATTTAAATTTTAGGAATCTACTTTCGTAGAAGTCATTCATTTCCGCACAGGGAACTTAGGTTCATTTCAACTACCCAAGCTTCAACTTCTCTACGTTTCTTTGATTCTACTTATTCTCTTTGCCAAGGTACTGCATTCTATTTCAGGACATCTGACTATCGGGACAGTCTTCCATTATTAAGCCAAACTCCATATCATATAATTTTTTATCCATTTGTAGATAAAATTAGTTTTTATAATTTTTGAGGTTCATTTTGAGCAAATAGTATTTCCTTTCCACCGTGACTCTGTCTTCTAGGGTTCTATGAAAGTACAAAAGCCTAGATTCACTTGACTAACATAGTTCTTTATTAAAAATAAAAACATTCTTCCATATAGGAGGCAGTATTTATTTTGGAATACATATACTTTATATTGATTAAACTTAAAATATGAGCTCATTGACCACATGACAGCTGCAGTTTTTGATACACATCAACTTTTTAAAAACACTTTCATAACTGATCTTTTGATACAGTGAAAACTTTAACTAGTTTTCAAATGTATGTATGTTATGAAATATAAAATATTATACATGGTATTTGAATTATGCTTTATTGCTAAAACATGGAAAAGTTACAAACAAATTACATAAAATACCACATTTTGTTGGCAGGCACTTTTTGTGAAGCTTTATGTGCAGCTAATTCAGAGCCCACATAAGACTGGCCTTTCCTTGTGGGGCCAGCTATTCATTTGTGTGCATGTTGTAGAGAAACTCAGGTAACACAGTATAAGCAGATTCACTCCAGTTCTTGGCATTCAGCAACAGGGATGATTAATGGCCGGCAATGGTAATTGGCTCTCGGTCACAGATACCTCAGACATTCAAGAAATAAGACTATAATGAATGGAAATACCTCAAAGTTCAGCTAGTCCTTACTCACTGAAGGATTAAGGTGACCTGACATGCTAGGATAAGCCTGGTTATATAAAATTGCATGTGCTGTTTTTAGCTCTCCCTTGCATGTCAGTAAAGCCTTTTATTAACAAAATCTTAAAGTTAGGAAGTATGCCAAAGAGAGAACAGTACAAAAAAATGCTACCTAAAACATTTGAACCCAACCTATTAGTTGATCTAAAAGAAATAGTTTCTTATTTTCTAGGCAAGTGACATTTGCTAATACGCACCTGCTATGAACAGGCTGTACTGTTACAGTGTGTTGGATTCTAGCCTTATAAAGTCTGTGCTTGTGAGAAAATCCATGAAAGTTGAGTCTTGAATCCTCCAAAGAAGCACCAAGCCAAGAATCTCTGTCCAGCACCATTTTATAGATAGATTAAATACCTGGTACAGGAAGCCTGATTTTTTTCCTTATTACATTTTTTCACTTTTGCACCTGGGTTTGCCCCCTTTAGATTTTAAGGCCCTTGTGCTTTCAGCTTTGTCATATAATCTTAAACTTTGCCCATATTTGACCACATCATGTCTTCCCACCTGCTTTTGCTTCCAGGGCTGGTTTTCCACAAGCCCCTACTCTTCTGGTTTCCAACCAGAGATTCCAGACTTGTGTAGTCTGGGCATGTAGTGTGAGCAAAAGAGCATTCTCTGCACAAGGACCAGCGAGATAAAGGTTCGGCAGTATGAACATCTTGATAGCTTCGGAAGGACAAGTTCAGTGTAGCAGGAGGTGACTGGATGCATACATTGAAGTACACCCTCTATGTTAAACAGTGCCAGATTATAAGGGCCTTGAACGCCACTCAGAAGAGCTCGGCAGTATTTTTCAGCTGAGATTTTCAAGAAGGATATTGAGACACAACCATATCTTCATGTGTTTTAGGAGATAACTCTTGTGTTAGTGCAAAGGACTTATGGGGGATGGAGAAAAGAGATTGGAAGAGACATTGACTGTTTTCATCAGTTCACCACCAAGTTTATGGGGAGTTAAATTAGGGAAAGGGCAGTAAGACAGATGAGAAGGTGGATTTAAGGCAGGGCTTGACACAACAGAGGTAAGAGAGAAAATGTGAAGATTTAAAACTAACCCTTAGTGTTCTAGCTTGTGGTACTGGGAATGATAATCTGTTAGATGAGGTGTTCAGCATGTGAGGAGTTTGACTTTGTTAGGGAAAATGGCTAAGGTTTGTATATATTGAGTTCGAAGGACTATTGAATCATTTTCCTGTTAATTAATGCCCAGGTTAGCAGGTAGAATTTAGGGGCATGGCCAGAGGTGAACGATGAGAAGGTGGTCCTCTCCTTGCCAGGAAATGTTTTCTTCATCGTGAGCAAACAACACCTCCTTGAAAAGCAGGTCCAGGGACAAACATTATGATGAATACATTTTGAGTGAAATGCTGTGTCTTTTTTTTGTTGTAAACCATTTTCCTCTCACTTCTTTCCAGTTCTCTCCCAATTACTTCAAAGAAAAGAAACATAATCCTTAAATACTTGATCACTATTTTTTTCTCTCTGATTTGGAAGATAAATTTGCATACTGGGGAAGAAGAGATGGGGTAATATTCCCAACGTGATGGTTAAGTAGTCTGGATCTCTAACTTTCAATCTTTTTAAAGCTAGCTTTTTTTCTTCTACGTATTATGGTCAACCACTTTTGCAAAGGCTCAGAATTTATCACAGCTCCTTGAACTAAAATTAATTTTATTGTTTTATTGAAAACCATAGCAACACATTAAATATAAGTATTTAATTATATAATATTAGGAAAAAGGCTGGTTCCCAACAAAACATGTAGCCCTTCTAAAAGAGAGAATATAGTTAAGGTAGTAATGTTAGGTTACAGATAGAACCAGCTCTTCGTTAGTAGCTAAAGAAACATTTTTGGAATTATGATTATAATTATTATAATTAAAGTGATTTGATGGAAAAGTCTGGCTTCACCATGGTTTTTACTCTAAGTGTTCTCTACCTCAAATCTGAAGGTTTACAGTGGTGATAAGGAGTGTAGTTTAGGTCTAAGAACTCTTGTCGCTTCTTGATTTCTTTGTGTTTTTCAAAATTCCCAATGTTATTTTTTTCTGAAAAGATTTTTCTATCTCTAAAATGAGTTCTTAAGAGATTTGACTGAAAAAATAACTTCAGAAATGGTATCTGATTTAATATAATACCGAATAATTAGAGTAACAATGAACAATAATCATCACCAACCACTTGTAAATTCCTTGAAGAGAGGAACTGAGTCTTTGTCAGTGTGTTTACACACATATGTATAACAGAGTCTTTGTCCAACGGATGATATTTATGTAACTGTAGATAAGAAAATGAGTAGGCACTGAACAGTGATTGTATAGAGCATATTTTCAGAAACAAAACCACATTAAACTGGTTTCAGGAAACATCACTATTCCTTAAAATGGCTCTCAAACCAATGGCTTTCAAGGTTGTTCGGAAGGATGTCATTGGTAAGCTTGTTTCCTGTCCTTTAGTTTGAGAATAACTGACGGCATATCCAAATTGTCAGATAAAAAAGACAGAACACCTTGTTCATTGTTCTTTGCCTTTAGCAGGTGAATCAGACATTTAGAAGACTCACAATGACTTTTCTTTTTGTTAATTTTTTGGGGTGACGTTGGTTCATAAGATCATGTAGTTTTCAAGTGCACACTTCTGTGATGCATGGTCCGTATATCGTACTGTCCACCACCCAAAGTCAAATCTTATTCCATCACATTTGCCCCCCTTTACCCTTTACTGTTGGGAACCTTACACCTGGCTTCTAGCTAAAAACATTGCATTGATTACAGGAACCTGTGCGCTCCACAAGCCAATCGGCTACAGGTACATGAGGTGTGCATGCGCTCCACAAGCCAATCAGCTACAGGCACATGAGGTGTCCACGAGTACCAGTTGCACCCAAGTAATCAATAAGCGGGCCCTTCTTTGCCTCAAGCTAGCCAATAGCAAGCAACCTAATCTCCTTCCTCTCCCTCCCCCTATATATATACCCAGTTCGGAAAAATAAAGTTTGCAGCTTGATCAGAATCTTTTGTCTTGCTGCCATTCTTCGCGCCTCTTGTCCCCCCAACTCATTTGTTCTAGGTAGGTGGTCGAGCCCCAGTTGATTGCTCCGCGGGCCGGAGCACTTTACTACCTCCTCCACCCCCCTTTTCTCTGGTAACCACCATACTATTGTCTGTGTCTATGAGTTTTTGTTTGTTATTTTTGTTTGTTCACACAACGACTTTTTCTTTTGCATTTTCATCAGCATTGACAGTTTCATTGAGCATAATCCACAACTGGTATTTTTTTCAGGAATATTAATCAGGGCTGTCACATTCCTATGGGTCTATGACCACCTCAGAGATGCCCTGCTCATAGGAGTCAAACCAGCGAAACCAACTAACTCTGCATTCTAAACGCCTCACAGAGCACGCGAGTGGCTGATGCCAGCAGAGCACTGTCCCGTGTCGGTCTTTCTCATTTCTCTGCTCTTCATCCTGTGGCTGCCTTGGAGAAAAGCATAAAACTTCCCAGACTGTGTCTAACTGTGTAATCTCAGGTGAGCACAAACGGCTCCCCCTCTCCACCTAATGATCGGTTTGTAATCAAAGGAAGGAGGATTGGCGGTCCTGGTTATTTTTGTCCTGTTGGTGCCGGCACAGATGCTGTGTTTTCCATCAGATGGGTGTCTAGAGAGGCCCCTCCCTAAGGCACTCCATGGAAACAGACTTGCACTGTTTTCTGAGGACCAGTCTGGGAAGCTTGTCTTTCTTTTCCAGGCCTTAGGGTACAGCACCAAAATTACCTATTGCATCTTTTAAAAGGGAAATACCCTCTTTTGAGCAGAGTGAGCTTGTTTCCCCAGCCCATTTCCTCCCTTCCCTCACTACTGTGCCCTTGGACCTTCCACCACACTTGTGCGCTGTACCCCTGCTCACACCCACTGCCCGCCACAGGCCTCAGAATACCAACCTGGCCTCTGTCATGGACTCCTCACTTGTCTCTGGTGCAAATCAATTTGATTCAGGTGTTAAATCCCTGAATTGTCCACTGGGCATCCAACTCTAGCTCAGCCACTCCCCATGGGTCCCTCAAGGAGAGAAAGTGTTTGGAGGATACTCCAGCAAAGGGCACCTCTTTAACTGGAAGGCAGGGCTTCACTGCACACCCCTCCCCTCCTGGTGAGAGAACCTTGCGAGAGTTGGCAGGGCCGCTCCTGCCCTCTCTTCTAAGCCTCCACTTCTAAGAGACCTAAGCCCTCAGATTCTGGAACAGTCATATCGCTCTGAGGATGCAAGAGGGCATGGGAAGAAAAACCCATGAGAAGTTCCATCAGGTGTTCCCAACCAGGGAATGTCCCGTGCAAAGAGCAGCTCTCTCCACGCCTGCCACTCAGAGAGCACTTCCCAGAGGGAGCAGCCATCCACAAGGGTACAGAGGGGCCAGAGGCCAGAAGATTGTTTACCTCAGTGCTTCCTGTCAAGGTTTCCTGTGTCCTGAGATAATCTACCCCCTTATTTCCGCCCTCATGTACCCTTGGAGTCCTTTTTCACTTTGACTACAACTAGAACTTCTCTTTCTCTTTGGTGGTGGATGAGGCGAGCAGGTAAAGAAAGAAGAGCATGGACCTGTCCTCCCGGAAGTCAGTCATTCTAACGTTTTTCTGTTTGGCTGCTGGCCCCAGCCTTTGCCGTAGGCCTAGCCTCCTGCTTCTGGAGTTTTATGATCTCGGTGGATGGCTCTTCACTCTACTCCTTGGGCTCGTGGGGCCTCGGTAGTTTCTGCGTCTGTTGTATTCCCTGGGAGCATCTGAGTGCTCCTTGGCATATCTGCTTGTTCCTCAGTGTTCTTGCCTCAGCTGTGACCCTGCCTTGAAGCAGGGGTAGGGGTTCAGAGCACTGGTTCTCCACGGGCAGGCTTCCACTTGATTTCCTTTCTCATGGCCTCATTTCTCTGCAGTAATTCACAGCACATCGAAGTTATTCTTGATTCTGTGCCTTCACACAAGCTGTTCCTCTTCCCTGAAATCGTTCTCTTATGACTTCCAAATTCAACTCATTCCTCAAGGCTTTTGTCATTGTATTTCCAAAGGACTTATGTTCTGAAAATGTAGGGATTCACTTTATACTTTCCTATACTTGTTTTCAGTGAGACACACCTGTGTCCTTACACTAATTCCACCTCACTATTTTTTTTCTCATGCAAGCTAAAGTTATTTTGAGTTGTTTACAGAGTTTGGATTAATGCACTTGGCCAACTCTTCCAATCTATTCAACCTGTAATCTAAAGTGTCATTGGGTCCAGCTACTTCTTGAGGATCTGATTAAATTCAGATTCATTGAGGATCAGATTAAATTCATTTACTTCCCCAGCCAGTAATGTTTTTGGACTCTCCCTAAATTGCTGAATGTCTAAGGTCACGTTCTCATCACCTAGAGAAGTGCTGTTTTGTTTCCTCTGCCTCCCACTCGGGGCTGGAGCGAGACTTGGCAAACTATGACCAGGTCTCAGAGGATGTGTCTGGCCTATTCCTGTCTATGTATGGCCCATGAGAGACAAATGGATTTTACATTTTCTGATGGTTGGAAAAAATTAAAAGAAAAACAATATTTTTAAAATATGAAAGTGATATAGAATTTCACATCAGTGTCCAAAAATAAAGCTTTATTTGAACAAACACAGGCCACAGCCATTCATTGACATTATGGCCTAAAACAATGGCAGTGCCCAGCTGTTGTGATGTAGACCAAATGACCTTGAAAACCTAAAATCTATGGTATTTGGCTGTCTTAGAAGAAAGTTTGCTGGTCTCTGGCTTAGAGGCAAAGGCTAGTTTCTCAGTGACCCCCCCAGAAGGCTCACTCCCAACAGGCTTTAATAATTTAGTAATTATGTGTGATTTGGGGAGCAGTCACCTACCAGTCATGCTCTGTTATTTTTCTCTTGGCTTCATACCCCATTATTTCTTTTCTTTCTTCTATCTGATCCCCTTGCTACAGTATCTAGCAAATTTTCTGTTTTCTAGCTAACGATGCACAGTTTCACTTACAGCAGTGTCTTGTGGAGTGTTACCAGTGTTCTTAGGGCACATTTGTCTCCAGTGAGGACACCTGGTTTTGGCTGTTAAGAGAATGGATTTCCCACCTTTCTCTACATTTTTAAATAAAATTTAAACAAAAAGGTATTTGTCATATTGTTACCGAACAAGAGCTTCGAGGGAGGGGCAATACAATGTTTGGCCCACCTAGGGATGCCCAAAACTGCTACAGAACAACAGGGGCCCCTTCCAAGGACAGAATACTAGTATCTACGGGGCTCTTCTGTCCGCCACCAATTGGAAAGACATCTCTCAATGCCAGAGATTTGTGAAAAGGAAACAAAATGTTTATTTAATGCTATTTAGGCTTAATGTCTCCACTAAAATATCAAAGTCCTTTAGGGTATACACCTACACCCACACAGCTCCCTTCTCCCACTGTCCCAACTCCGGGTACCGTAAATCAAGAGCCCACGTCCCTTTTTCAGGCCGCCGGTGCGGTGCCATTAGCTGTGTCGCTGTGCAGGCTCTCGAGTTAATCCAAAGTACTGTGGTACCCTCTCATGGTCCACTGGCAAGAGTTCTTTGTACCCAGTTACAGTCAAAGTCTCTCCTGCTTTTCCAGGCCACGTGGCCAAAGGGGCATCCCAAAGCCGCGTGGGCCTCTTCTACCAAAGCTGCAGGGGTTCACGCTCCACCAAAAGCGCGTTGTCTTTCTTCTTCACCTGGCTGCAGGGATCTCCATTCTGGCAAAGCTGCGTGATTTTCCCTTTCACCTGGGCAGTTATCCCCTCATGTCCTGGAGCCCATCTTTTCCAAGCTCTCATACAGGCCTTCTCACTCAGGAGCGCAGCCCCTAGTTTCATCCTGAGCCCAAGTCCACTCCCTTCTCCCTGGCTCAAAACTTGGCCACAGCTATTTAACATATCTATGAAACCAGTTAAAGGTTATAGATATGTTAAATGACCAATCCAGAGGTTAGCTGCAAAACTATTGCTATGCAAAACAGCTCTCAATGGCCCTGGCTGTATTGGTCCCTTCCCCCTGGACATCTTATATGTCTCTGCAATATTTCTATACACTGAATTCTGGACACCATTCCAAATCTTTTTTTTGCACCCCCCCCCCCGGCTGCACCCTGTATCAATATTGATGCTATTTGAGCTGTTTTACTCTAATTCTTGTTTTAAGATTTGTTAAAATATTTGAGAAATGACATATCTGACTAGAGTAAAAAAGTGAAATCTGCGTATAATGGTTTTTAAGAACCCTGGATTGTGGCATGGGGTCAGGGGCAGGGGAAGGCAAGGGCCTGAGGAGGTTTTTGAGGTCCCAAGGTGATGATTTACTTGAGATCCCACAACTGGGTGGTTGAGGTAATGGTTCACCAGAGCTCAGCACTTTCTGGCCCCCATTATACCCCACCAGCTCTCCACCTTCCTTTGAACTTTTCTCCTAGTCAGGAATAATAGAAGCAAATGAACTCTAATATTTAACCTGGTGGAGCGAAATTATACACAATAGTGCTCATGATGTGATGCTGCCTGTAGAAAGTTATGCAGGAGAGAATTCCAAATGCATGACTTCAGCAGGCACCAGGCAGGCTGAGGGGTCCCTTCTGAGCTCCCTTTGTTTAACAGCGCAGTACCAGAGATGAGGAGCCATCCTGGATGGCAAAGCAATAATTATTTTATCTCTTACAATATTCCACTCTTTCTATTTTCCCACCTCATCACTAATTTGAGATAACTTGATGGCATTTAAGTAGGAAAAAAGAATTTGTATGTAAATGAGGGAATGAACAAAAATTGGCTGTTAAACTCTGTTGGATTCTAGAAGGTTTCAAGTTTGATTAGGAAGCTGTGACTCTACAAAAGTGTTAAAGAATATCTGGAGAAGGTTTTTTTCTCTGAAGTGATTTTAATTTAAGAATAATAATGGAATTTTTATTTTAGAATAAAACAAATTCTGAAGGAGCTTTGTAATAAAAAAGCAACAAGGTGAAAAGTATCTGAAAACCTTGCCTGTTTGAGCCACAGCTTTATAACTGTGTGTATCAGGGAGTGGAGACATTTCTGCCAGTTGGGGCTTTTAAAAAAATCTGACGTTTTCATGTACACATAGATGATGTACATATACATCATATTTACCTTTATGTAATTATAAAAATGAATTTTTATTACAATCCAACAGTAAAATTAAGATCTACTTTACATAAATAGTTTGGAGCTTTAAAACCATGTAAATCAATGAATTACATGGTTAAAATAATTCACGTTAATTCTTATTTTTTGAAGGTTGTCACCACTACTTGCTAAGAGGATGTGAAGTAACTTGCAATTTTAACTACGTTGTGGATTCAGATGGTTTTGAAAGAACCCAACAGAGCCTGTCAGTGCGACATTAAAGAACTAGGAGGAAGTACTTCGCACTGTCAAATTAGGGGCTGTTGGAAGGTCACAGACATTCTGACCTTTCCTGGGCAGATAAGACAGAGTAGGCGTGGGAGAAGAGATGACATTAACCGCAGCTGGTCAGATGGCTCCAAACACTTGAGAATGTACTTACACTAGTTTTTAGGTTTCTGAACATCTAGGGCTGTCCAATAAATGTGGTGAGGTACTTATATTTTTCTAAAAAGGTTTTTAAGCATCTAAGAATATCAGATAAGTTTATCAATATTCTCCCATTCCCCTGTTGCTAACCCTCCATGTGATCTTCATTTCTATGGTTCTGCTCCTGATCTAGCTGTCCTCTTAGTTTGCTTTTGTTTTAGGTGTGGTTGTTAATAACTGTGAGTTTCCTGTCCTTTCACTGTTCATCTTTGTTATCTTCTTTTTCTTATAGATGGTAGGTAGAAAATAAATAGGGGGAGGGCAAGAATAGTAGGGGAAATATAGAATCTAAAGAACTTGAGACACATGGTCATAAACTAAAGGGGGGGAACAGTGGGGGCGGGGGTGTGCAGAGTGGAGGGGAATGAAGGTGGGGAAATAGAACAACTGTAATGACATAATTAATAAAATATATTACAAATAAAAAATTAAAAAACAAAACAAACAAATAAAAGCTTATCAGCATTTATTTGGCAAACAAAGAGTAGGAGAGTGAGAGCGTGCACATGTGTGAGGGGATGACCATTGCATGAATTTTCCAGCATTGCATCACAAGTTGAGAGAAATGTAATAAAATTAAAAAAAAATAGAATTGAACTCTTCTAACTACTGTTTTTGCAATGCTGCTGTTGTTGCTCAGCTTGGATCCTGATTTAAGGACAGGTTGCCCAGGTGTCCTCTTGTTTGGGGGGGAGAAGAGACTTCTGAGTTGTTCACCGAAGCTTCTATGTTGGTGCCTCAGGGAGATCGAGAGAGACGCCTTTCCCCAAAGAGATGCTCTCTTGCTTTATTCAATGCATTATGCCAATTTTGTATACATCTAGACTTTTTAACTTTTTAGATCTGTGTATGTAATCATTTTCCATTGAGTTTCAGGATTTATTTGAGTCACAGATTTTGTGATTACAATTTTGTCCTATTCTCTGGAATGCGACTGTAAATCTCAATAGTGGCTATTAGCTAAATAAGACTTTTAACAAAATTACCGAGCATGGCACATTATTTTGAGTTGTGGAGGATGTCACTGATATCTTTGTGCTTGAAGAAAGGGTGGTAGGAAATAGAACAGGGGCTCTCAACTGTGTGTGTGTGTGTGTGTGTGTGTGTGTGTATGTGTGTCTGTGTTAGGGACACTGCAGTTGGTAGAAAAATAGCCCCGCAAAGAGATTTACATTTCAATTCCCGGAATCTGTGAATATGTCATCTTACATGGCAAAGGGGACGTTATAGATGTGATTAAGATTATCCTGGATTATCTGTGGGGACACGACATCATTGCAAGTGTCCTTATAAGGGGTGAGACTGGATGGTCAGAGAAGGGGATATAGTGATCGAAGCAGATACTGGCATGATGCCATTGCTGGCTGGGAGGCTCCATCCAAGGAAGGTGGTCATCTCTTGAGCTGGGAAAGCAAAGAAGCATTCTCTCCTGCAGCCTCCAGTGGGGCTATAGCTGTGCTGACACCTTGGTGTTGGCTGAATTACTCCTATTTGGGACATCCAGCCTGCAGATCTGTACAATAATAAACAGGTGGGGTTTTCTAAGCCTCTAAATGTATAACAGCATCAATACAGCACCAATGCAGACACCTTAGGGCCACCTAGGAGGCCTCTAAACCTCTTTTCAGGATAATATTTTTAATGCATAAAATAAACTACATAGGATTGAAAAGGAAACCAATTATGTTAAAATACTTTTGTCAAGGATTAAACAATTTTGTGGTACATAATAGATGTGCTTCTGTTTTCATGTACTAATTAACAAGATAAACCATTTAAAATGTGGACAAGTTAAAGTTCAATGTTAGCTTTTAATATTTATCATTGTGAAGGTTAACTACATGTGAACTGTGACCTCTTCATGCCTCATTAAGTTGTACTGTCCTACAGAGGATTAAGAATTGAAAATTAAACTGTCTAGATTTGTATAACTTTAACATTTATGTTTAATCTTCTTCCAAGATTAAGTAACCAAGAATTATAGACATAGAACACTGGAAAACAAAATCATGGTTGGGGCACCAATACAAAAGTACATGATTTCACTATTATTAACCGAAAACTATGAGACAGAAATTATCAAATAGTTGGCCAGCTGTGTTGCATAAGCATCTCATGACAGGAAAGTTGGATGCAATCTACCATGAATTCTAATTAGGGATGAGCCTAAATACTACTTGGAGATATTCGAGGCATAGTGTGATAGGAAAATATCTATTCTATTTGTGACAAATGACAGGTATCGTTAATACTGATTTTCTACATTTATAATGGAATACAATGCCACTTTTCACTGAGAGGCACTTAAGATAATAAAGATGTATTTTTTTCCCTAATCCAAGTTCATACATAGGTTCCGGGTTGAGAACCAGGAGCAGAAAAGTGAGTGGTTATGTAGAATACAGCTATTTGTCTTCTTCCTTTTGCTCCAACTGAGCAGAAGGATTGTGTTGTTTCTGAACGTTAATTGCAGTAAAATACACAAAACACATGGCACACACAAGGAGTCTGTCTCACAAGTCCTGCCGGCCCCGGGGGGTGGAGTCTGTGTGCATGTGGTTAAGAAGGCAGAGGTCTCCTCCTTTATTTTTGCCCTTTTTTTCTTCCCAATCAAAGTGTCCCTTCTCTTAGGCAGCAAGCAATTTTTTGGTTATGCTTTGGCAATGGGAAAATCAGTGCATTTTGCCATGTACAACGTGCTCCCATGTATAATGCTCATCCACGTTTTGGGCCCAAACTTTCAGGAAAAATTTCTTTCTTTTTAATTTTTTAATCCAATTATTTATTTATTTATACAAGTTACTTCTTGTGTGTTATAAAGGAATTTTAGCATTTATTTTTGAATGTATTAAGGTACAAGAAATTTTATGTAACAAATAATTATAAAACCAAAGAACAGATACAAGGTATTTCAGGTACTGCCTATGTATGTATAATGCTCATCTTTATGTTTCCTAAAAAAATTGGGCAAAAAAGTACACATTTTACACAGCAAAATACCATATATTCTATGTCATAAGAAATGAAATGGGAAGTAGAGAATGGAGACTTGGAAGATATCTAGATCAGCTCATTTGTATGATGATATTTGTCAATATGTCATATGGAAATTCAGGACAAAATAATATTAAGGTGTCTGTATTTTCATTTCCTGAAGAAAAGTTCCAGTTTCTATGTCAGTGTCAATGTCCCAATACTGCAAACATCCAACAATGGTTACTTAAAGAAACCTTGTCCTATAAGTGAGTAGACTAAATAGTCCAATAGATCTTTAACCAATCTATTAACTGATCAGTCTACCTTGGAGATTACACTGAATGTTCCCCAAACACTTAGATGGTCTCTGCTGTTATAAAGGGGGAGCCGACTGCTATTTAAAATTCAGAGAAACAAAATGGACTCAGATTCCACAATCCTTTGTAGATTTAACATTACTCATATTCATTTTAAAAAAACACCCTCTTTGTATAAAAATAGTGCTGTTACTTAACTTGCTGTCATGAAGACAAATTGAACTACTTGCCAGGGCAGTAAAACAGACTTTTTTCAGACGTCCTCAGTGAAAAGTCCAGCTATGTTGGCATTTTGCAGAGTTTGCATTAGAGCAAGAGAAATGATAACTTGTGGAGGAGCAAACCAGGCAAAACACATCCAAGTTCAAGAGGAAGTTGAACCTGGAAGCAAGGTCTGAGCATTTTCAAAATGACAGGAAAATTGCATCTGGATTGTGCTATGACTAAGGTGAATTTGATTCTATTACTTAGCCATGTGGGACCAAGGTGAATTTCATGAGGTTCTCAGAAAGGACCCAAGGTATATTATGGCAAGTAGGAGTAGATAAAAATACATCAGTAGCTAGATACTGCTGGCTATAATGGAAGTTGTTGGTCATAGCAGAGACTTTGAATTAGTTTTCTAAAAAGTGCATCAGAATAGCTGACTGAAACTTGTAGAAAACTGAGGTGAAGAATGTCTTCTTTGACTAAAGACTGTAGAGCAGAAGAAATATTTGCCATAGTGTGATTATTCTATTCCAAAGAACTGATTCTGTTGCTTATAATCTAAGGTTTACTATGTTTGGATATGTCTTTCCTCCCTCACTGACCAGCCCTACTTATTTGTTGTTGAGAATATGTGTTTGCGTACACATGTTGGCATGTGCGTAAAGAAAATGTGGACTTGTGAATGTGAACTTCCAATTAACCAGGGCTATTGTGTATATAATGAACATACAGTTTGGAGGATTTTTACAGTTATCTACCACAGTCCTCGGCGGAGTCCATAGGATTGAGCACAGAGCTACCTACGTCTGTGTGCTCCAGGCCAGATCCTCATTGGAACACGCAGAATTCAAAGCCCTAATGTCCCCTGACATTCATGCACATGAATGATGACCATTGTCATGGTGAGTCCAATAGTTACAAGGATCCTGGGAGATTCCTTATTCTGTATGGAGACCCGGGCTGTTGCACAGTCATGCTGGAAAGCTGCTCTGTAGGTTTTAGACGCAACCCCAGATGCATGGATGAGGGAATAGGGCTTGGGAGGTAACGTGTCTGTGATCAGGCCCCAGAGAAGAGGGAGGTGGTGGGATTTTGCATCACACATCACTGAGATGTGTGATGCAAAGAGAAAAGAAGTGTGTTGAAGGAGAAAAGAAGAAGAAAGCAGTGATTTTCTTGTCCTGGCTCTTTGGCTAGGTGGTGCCCAGGCTGGTCACATCAAAATGTCCAGCTTCATCCTTTTATTATTTTCTTAACTCGATAGTCATTTCTTTGGTCTTTTGAATAAGGAATCAAATCTTTAGTACTATCTCCTTTAATCTTGTTAAAGAACAATCATTTACTATTCAGCAGATAGTGACCACCTATCATACGTACCATTCTAAGCACTGCAGAGACCTTAATGAATAAAACATTCCTTGCCCTCAAGGAGTCTGCACTGAAGTTGGGGATGTATGTAGACAATTTCATCTTGCTTAACCCCAAGAAGCTCTGGCTGGAGGCCTTGTTTCTAAAGGAGAAGAGAACTAACATTGGTAAATTTTGATTAGAAGCCATTACGTACACTCTCTAATGCTGAATCCTCCGAAGAATCCAATAAGGGGTAGAATTCTCACAGCATATCTACCAGCAGCCAGTAGCTCCCAATAGATTTTTAGACAAATTTAGTGTTGAATCTTACTTCATTGCTTTCTAAATGGATCTTGGTCAAACTACTTAACCTCTCTGAATACCAGTCTCCCCAATCTAATAAATTAGTGAAATTAATAATATCTACTTCATAGGGTGACAATGAGTGAAATGAAGTATTAAAAAAATTGAGTGCACTGTCAGAACTGAATAAACATTTTCTCTTTTATATCCTTCCCATTTTATATCAAAATTAAGGCAAATGTTCATCTTTCACATGGAACCTTTCAGGAATAGAGCTCCCATTACATACATGTTATGGGCAACCCTGGAAAGAATTCACTGAAAATAAAAGCTTGTGATCAATGCTCAGATCTTGCCTTCCCTGGATCAGTGCTCCAGAGACATACAACTCTTATGCACTGGGCAGGAAGCGATTTGGCTGCTACGTTCTGTGCTCTTGGTAACAAGGAGGTGTCTAATGACGTTCCGTGGGTAGTGTCATTGCTCTGTGGGAACAGGGACTTCCTTTTCATCTACCTTCTAAAAAATGATAATTTCCTTCCTCTCTTCCCTTCGCTGATTTCACCAATGAAATAACTAGTAAAGAGATCTCAGAAGCAGACATTTAAAAACACTCCAGACCTAGCAGGCAAAAGAAGGTCTTGGAATGATAAGAAGAGGCTTCCGACTGGCTAGAACCAATTCTTTAAGCCCTGAGGGAGGAGGATTCCATATCAGCCACACTGAACATTAGAATTATTCTGTATCAGTATGTTCAGTAAAATTTATTTTGAAAATTATATTTAAGCAGTTTTATTAAAAATACGTATGTCTGATGAAAATGTCACACTATATTTAGCTCGCTTAGTGCCATTGTAGCTCCTGACAATCTACACTTCTGCTCACGGCTGTGAGGTCTTCCAGATGACTTCTTTTTTTTTTATTTTTACAAATATTTTATTTATTTATTTATTTATTTTAAAAATTTTAAAAATTTATTTAGTTATTTTTCAAGTACAATTTTTTTGGTCAATTTCTCCCATCCTAGCCCCCCCTCCGCCCCGTCTCCCCACCAGATGACTTCTATGGCTTTAAATAATGTGTTTATGATTTTATTTATTATTTCAATACCTATCAATGACATCTTCTAGCACTCCACTTTATAAATGGGAATGTTACCTTTGCTATTCTTATTTTTACTTCTTCTTTCCCTCATCTACCTCTTTCAGTGGTATTTTTACTTTTTTATTGTTAAGGTCAACTTCAGATGTGAAAGGGAGACGAGAGGGCCATCAGGCAAAAAAAAAGGGCAGAAACAAAGGTTTAAAGGAATATGATTATTGGAAGCTATAATTTCTCTGGCTTTTACTTCTTTGATTGTGTACTACAGAGTCCTCAAACTTTGGTGTGCAAAAAAATTACCTGGGGTGTTTTGCATCATGTAGTTTCTAGCATTCAAGCCCTAGAAATTCTGGTTCTGTGTCTTTAGGTGAGCATGGAGATCTCCATGCATTGCAGACAGTTCTGATGCAGGTGGCTCTCAGACCACGATTCCTCTTGGTGATGAATAGTGACACTGCTTTTGGCCCAGGGTCATAGAAGATGCCATTCCAAATGGTGCCACATGCACCCTGCACCTCCTGGAATAGCAAGCTTATCTGGACACCACAAACAGTCACATGGCCCTGGAGTGGCTGGACACAGTTGGAGCCCAATAGATGGGATCTCGGAAATATATTTGTAGTGATGAATAACCTCACCCATTGTGCGCAAGTTTATGTCTCGGGTTAATGGAAAGCACTAAGTTGTCAAAAACGCCGAAGGGGACCTCTTGGTAAAAACCACCTGCTTTATTAGGAAAGAGTTCATCTAATCTCTGTAGAGGTAACTGGAAATGTTCTCCAGGGAGACAGCCAATTTGATAGGTTTACTGAAACTTTAAAAAAGATATTGAAGATATTTTTCCTTGAACAGAAGAGATGACAGAGATCGCATGCAGGCTATTCCGTTACATACATTTAGAGGAGGTGCCACAGGAGTTTTCCTTTAATTTTGGTATTATGGAAGAAGCTTTAGATGTCCATCCATCTTGACTTTTGGATAGGAAGGGGCACACTATAGGGAAACTCACTTTATTTGCAGTTGAATTTACATGATATAACAGATGTTCAGCACCCTCCAAATGAGGGGAGGGTATAGTTGGAAAAGGAAAGCCAGAGTGGGTGCTCTGAGTTAAGATGTCTTGCACAACTGCAGACTTTGGGGGATTGAAGATCCAGAAGGGGGCGCAGTCGGATCAGAGAAACCACTACAACCTGTCTTCGGAATTACTGTTTGCGGGAGGGCTTGCAGGGAAATAGGAGAAAACGTGCAAAAAGCTGAGGCCCTGGCTCTGATCCTTCCATGGCAGGGCAGAGCAAAGAGCAGAACAGATGAATTGGGTACTGGTGTGGGGTGGGGGCAACTACGCCTGCGGGTATTTCTTGTGGACCAGATGTGAGTCCCCAAAGAGAGCCACTTTAAATGCTGTTCAAGAGGACTCTGCAACAGGGGTGGACTCCCGCCTGGACAGGGCCAGAAGGACCGAATGTGCCTTCTGGAGGGAAATTTATTGCTGCTATCTTTTCAAGCGGAGTCGGTGGGTCTCAGACTAGACTGAACAGCCACACACACGACTCAGGGAAAGCTGTGGCTGCCCCTCCCAGGGAGAGACAATTGTAGACGTGGGCAACTGCTAGGAGAAACCAGCACCAGCTCATACTTGTTCCGCCCTTTCCATTTCTTTCTTTCTCTGATCCAAACCTGGAGGGACCCAATAAGAGTTAGAAAACCAGTTGGGAGGAGAGGCAGGGAGGTAGGAAAATAGAAGAGGAATTGAATACGTTCCCCTCCCCCTAATCCCTCATTACAGCCTTCTGAGCTTGTCTATATCCTAGGAGAGGCATGATGCTTTAACTTTAAATAAAATTCAGGCTTTTCAGAAAATTGCACTAGGTGAGGTATATTTATTGCTATTCTTACACTGGAAAGTGAATGTATTCTTATTGTCTAATAGTGGTTGAAGTTGTTACCGAACAAGAGGTCCGAGGGAGGGGCAATACAATATTTGGCCCACCTAGGGATGCCCAAAACTGCTATACAACAGGGGCCCCTCCCAAAAACAAAATATTAATATCTACTGGGCCCTTCTGTCCGCCGCCAATTGGAAAGACATCTCTTAATGCCAGAGATTTGTGAAAAGGAAACAAAATGTTTATTTAATGCTACTCAGGCCTAATGCCACCACTAAAATATCAAAGTCCTTTAGTGTATACACCTACACCCACACATGCTCCCTTCTCCCACTGTCCCAACTCCGGGTACCGTAAATCAGGAAAAGAGCACAGGTCTGTGTTGCAGGCCTCTGGCACCGTCAGCTGTGTCACTGTGCAGGATCTTGAGTTAATCCAAAGTACTGTGGTACCCTCTCATGGTCCACTGCCAAGAGTTCTTTGTACCCAGTTCCAGTCAAAGTCTTTCTTGCTTTTCCAGGCCCCGCAGCCAAAGGGGGCACCCCAAAGCCGCGTGGGCCTCTTCTACCAAAGCTGCAGGAGTCCGCACTCCACCAAAAGCATGTGGCTGTCTTCTTCACCTGGCTGCAGGGATCTCCATTCTGGCAAAGCTGCGTGGTTTTCCCTTTCACCTGGGAAAGAGGGGGTCCGCACCCTGCCAAAACCACGTGGCTCCCTCTTTCACCTCACCAAGAGGGGGTCCTCACTCTGCTGAAACCGCATGGCTCTCTCTCATCTGGCCCAGCGGGGACCCTTCATGTCTTGGAGCCAGTCTTCTCCAAGCTCTCACACAGGCACCTCTCACTCAGGGGCGCAGCCCCTAGTTACATCCTGGGTCCAAGTCCTTCTCACTCTGGAGTGCAGCCCCTCGTTACATCCTGAGTCCAAGCTACTCCCTCAGGAGTACAGCCCCTTGTTTCCATCCTGAGTCCCTGCTACTACCTTCTTCCTCAGGAGCGCAGCTCCTAGTTTCATCTTGAGTCCAAGCCACCACCTTCTCCCTGGCTCAAAACTTGGCCACTGCTATTTAACATATCTATGAAACCAGTTAAAGGTTATAGATATGTTAAATAACCATTCCAGAGGTTAGCTGCAAAACGATTGCTATGCAAAACAGCTTTCAATGGCCCTGCTCCATTGTCCCTTCCCCCTGGGGGGGGGGGCGTTGAGGACATCTTATATGTCTCTCCAATATTCCTATACACTTTGAATTCTGGACACCATTCCAAATGCCCTTTTTTTTGGCCCCCCCTTGGCTGCACCCTGTATCAAAGTGGTTATGGACTTTATCAGAGATTTCACGCAGGGATTGAAAAAATCGGCTCACAGAGTAAGTTTAACAGGCTGTAGGACAAAGAACAAAGTTATTTGTCAGAACGAGTCAGAACGAGTCCTATGGGTCTTCAATCTTCAGCTTACCAGTTACCTGCCTTGATAAAAAACCAAAACTTAAGCAGCACATAGTAGGCAGAACAAGCTCATTGTGACTACATTTTTACTTTAAGAAGGGAGGACTGAGTATGGGCAGACATCATTTCATTGCACTTTGCTTCATTGTGCTTCGCAGGTGTTGGCGGTTTTTACAAATTGAGGGCAAGATCCTCCGCCAGCAAAAATACTACGACTCTGCTTGTTTTAACGTGGTGGTCTGGAACCGAACTTCCGGTATCTCGGAGGTATGCCTGCATTTGGAAGATTGCACTGAGGTTAGTAAATGAAGCTGTGTGGAGTTTTAGAGGTATCAGACAATACCAATTTGTGTCCTGTTGCAGAAGAGAAACTTGCTCCGTGGCACGGGGCTGTGGCCAGGCCTTCAGTTCCCTCTCCGTGGTTTTCAGAAAGGGGCTTGGGCAGTGGCTAGGCCAATGACACGAGTCCTGTGCTGTGTGGGGATTTCAAAGAGTCTGTTGTTTTGCTGTCTTCATCTTTCTGCAGCCTATAAAATTCATGCAGTTGAGTGGAAAATGTCTGCTTTCTACTTAAGAAGGAGGAGAAGGGCTGAGTGGGTGGAGGAACAGTGCAAAAAAAAAAAAGGAAAGAGAAAACCTTATGGACATGGACAGCAGTGTGGTGATTTTAGGGGGCTGGAGGAGGAGAGTAAGGGGGGTGCATAGCAATGGACAGAGACTTGACTTGGGGTGAGGAACGCACAACACGGTATCAGACAGATGACATGCCATGGACTTGTGGACCCAAAACCTGTGTAATTTCGTTAACCAGTGCCACCTCAGTAAAAAGGAAATTCAATAAAAAGGAAAAAAATGCAGAAAGGGAAATCACAGGGTAATGATATCAATCTAAATTATTTAAATCCCAGTCTCCTTTTGCCTGAATTTATCGACTCCTATATGCCAGTGAACCCTTTAGAATAAAGTTGGAAATGATATAGCTTATTCAAAACAGGAGAAGAATCTTAGACATAAAAATAGGAGTAAAATAAACTGAAAAATGGCTTTAAAATAACCTTAATCTCTGTCCTACCCTTGGATGCCATTCTAATTTTCTCTAAACCAACTCTAATCATAATCCTCCAAATAGTCTTTAGGAAAAGAGTGATTCTTCATTATGTTACTATAAACATTTTTGTTAAGCTTTATGTTTTTGAATATAAAGAAATTCTGGGAATGAAGCGTTTTGTTGAACTAAAATTGTATTGCTAGTTCTTATGAGCATTGGTTTCCACCTGCGCACAGGGTATACACTCTCGAGGAGCAAATCAGAAGGGGCCACCTGAGGGAACTCCGAGGGAACTCCTGCCTTTCCAGCTGGTTCACCTGTGTGCAATGACTCCTGCAGGCATGGGGTGGGAACTCTCAGGGTTAAAGCACGTATTAAGCCTCTTGCAGTGTCTGCAGCAGGCAGGTCTATCTGTAAGGCCCAATGAAGGAGCTGACTCAGCTCTCACCCAAAACTAGAAACCCAAATTGTCCTATTTTAGCCTTTTAAACCTGCCTCTTTGAAAAGGGATCTATTAGAAAAGACCATCTCAGGGAAGTAGTTGACACCAACGCTGCAGCAGCCTTGAAGTTGTGTCCTTGAGTCCGATTCTGTGGCTGAGAAGCCACGTACTTGGTGGTCAGCGTTGCCCTTCCCAGACTCCCTCCTGCTCTGCAGTGTAGAGGGATGTTCCGTTTTTATGGCGGTCTCAACAAGGAAGAGGCACATGGAATTTGCTCCTTCATTTACTTTTGATACCACCTATTATGTTATTTAATGTGCCCTCCATACATTCTCACATGAGACATTCTTTCAGAATTGGGCTCCAGGAGGGAGAATTTGCCTCTTCTTGAGGCGCTCATTGCTCAACATCCTGTTTTTCTGATGTGGGAGCTTACTATAATACATCTACTTATATTTATTTTCATGGTGCTGAAATGACATTGCAATTTATGAGCCTCTTAAATCTATATTTCGTACGTTGCTTCAAATTGTTTTTGAGACAGGGTAGAAGCTTAAAAATTACACAAATAATCCTTTGTAATTTCCTTTTTTTCCCCTGACAAAGTTGTTAGGGAGCTACCTTTTAGGAATGTTCTAGTTACCACATTACTTAAAAACTATAACATCAAAATTACTTTTATTTTAATATGGAGATAACATTACCTATTTCATGGTGGTGTTGTGGGTATCACAAGAGATAATACAAAACACTTAAAACCTAAACTCCCACCTAAAAATAATGATCGACTATGCCTTCAATTCATTTATTCTCCACGTGCTATGTAACTGTGCACCTTGTCCAAGCGGTGTGTTTGCTGTATTTATTGCAATTTTGGTGTTATCATGCACAGTTATATCAAAAATCAAGACTTCATTGTATAAGTGTACATCTTCACAGTAAAAATAAAGTAATTGATTCATTTGCTCATTTTTAATAAAAAATTCCTCAGCTCATTAATTATCTTCTTAAGGGAAACATACTCTGACTTTAAGTATCTTTATTAAGCAAAGCCATGTAAAATGCGTTTGGTGAGTACGTTTCTATGAAATGGAATGGTGGTTGTAAGTAAGTTCAAAGACTTTTGAGTTGATAAGGGCTTCAGTGCTCCCTTGTGTATTGTTGTTGCTGTTGTTGTTATTTTTCTCCCCAAATTTTTGGTATATAAGAATTTCAGTTTAAAGGAATGTCGATACCATTCAGGCTACTAAAGCTTGGTCCATGAATCTAAGGAAATGTTCGGTATTTTATAGTCAGGAAAAATAGATTTTGTATCTTGACCTTTAAGTTAAGCCTTTCTTTTCAGAAGTATATTACCTTGCAAAGTACACAGGGAACCGGAGCCAGCTTGTGACCTTTTGTTAACATGCGGTTTTGAGAAACGGGGAAAAGGCATTGCATAGATCCGGAATTTTATTACCAAAAAGAATTAGGAGTCTGTTGCAAGTTCCACTTTTCTTAGACAGCTAGCCATATAATTTCTGGGACAGATGTTCTCACTTGGATAATGCCGTGAGTAATTCCTACAGTGCCATCCCAAGGCCTGTGTGAAATGGGAAGCGTAGACTGTGAATGGTAAGGATGGAAAAGGAGGTGAGGAAATGTTTGGCATGTTGCTGCCAGGAACTTCCATGATGGTTGTTCTTATTAGGTAAAGTCAGCTTGGCTTAAAACATAGCAGACTCAGCCCTGGCTGGTGTAGTTCAGTGGACTGAGCATGGGCCTGCAAACCAAATGATTTCGGCTCAATTTCCCAGTCAGGGCACATGCCTGGGTTGCAGGCCAGTTCCCAGCAGGGGACTCATGAGAGGCAACCATACATTGATATTTCTCTCCTTATCTCCATCCCTACCCCTCTAAAGATAAATTAAAAAAACCTTTAAAAAATGTAGCAGACTCTACTGATTGATCGTTGAAAATTCTTTTAGTGGGTTAAGAGCTTAGCTGTGACCTGGGAGGGACGTGAACTAGATGGGGAGAAGGTACAGTTACATATCCATGAAGCCATGGTGCCCAAGTGTTTTGTATCAACAGCTAATCCTATGGGTGCTACCTTCAAAATGTATCCAGAATCCAGATGCTTTCACCGTGGTCCTGCTGTCACCCCAAAACAAGCCACCACCACCTGGCCCCTTCGATGAGTGCAAAGCCCCTTACCTGGTCTTGTGACGACTCTTGCCCGACTTCTTATTGTTCAAAAACAGAATTCAATGGGCCAATTTTCTGATAGCTGTCATTGATGATGGTATTTGTATAAGTGATTTATTGGTGAGACTTTGGTTAGGATGACAGCCTACTGTTTAGTAAGCTGGACAGGAGGAGGCTTTTTGTTTGACCTTTGTTGTAGCTCATGACCTTGTAAATGGGTGTTAACATGCACAGGTTGTTAATATTTTGATCCACTTCTATTTGGGAAATAAATGTCTTAGATCTTAAAAAGTAAACAAACAGAAAACAAAACAAACTTCAACCACGTAAATTTAAAGTTCCAATTGGCTTTTAAGCAATTCATGAATCTGGCAGCATCCCATCTAGCCACTAGAAGGCACTCCAAGAAATTGCACAAAATGGAAGGTTTTTGTAGGAAAAAGGGCGGGGCAAAGGGGCTGTTACCAACAGGAGGGGTGGCTTTGTGACCTCATCTCTGTTGCTCTCTCTTGTGCACTCTGCTCCAGTTGCACCGCTCTTTCCTGAGTATGCTGAGTATGCTCACTTCACGTCCTGTCCTTGGCTCCTGCTCCTATCTCTTGCTGGGTCCATCTTTCTGTGTTCGAATGTTTCCTTCTCAGTGAGGTCTTTCATAACCACCCTGGATGGAAGAGCAGCCCCCTTCTCCCCACACTCTCCTGACCTCCCTGTGTCTTGTGATCTCTGAGTTTTTCCACATGGCGTATCACCATCTGGTGCTTCACATATTTGCTGGTTTATTTGTGTACTGTCTGTTCCTTTTACTGTGCCATGTAACCCTTAGGGACAAGGGCTCTGGTTTGTTTCCTGCTGTTTCCACAGCACTTCAACCATTGCACAAAGTAGGCTCAATAAATACTGAATGAACAAGTGAATACTAAAATTAGCAAAATAATTTTATTTTTAACAAGTGCTTAGTTAGGAATTGTAACGTTTAAAGACAGAATGCTCCAGGAATGTAAAATTTGCAGACCGGAAGAATGGGCCAGGACCCAGATACCATCAAATTAATAAACTATTAACTGTTTTCATACTTTCTACAGTATTCATGGAAGAAGCAGAAGACTTACAAGGAATGCTGAGATACCTTCTGCACTGTGAGATTAATTAATTAATGCTGGAAACATATTTTCCTTAAAAGGATATTACTACTTTTTAAAAAAAATTTAATCAGTTTTATTAAGAAATAACTGACATATAGTTTTGTGTAAGTTTAAGGTACATAATGACTTACCTTCCATATATAGTGAAATTATTGCTATAGTAAGTTTAGTTAACACCCATCATCTCTATAGATACCAAAAACATCTTATTCCCTGTGATGAGAACTCTGAAGATCAGTCCTCTTCACTTTCAGATCTACCATGCAATAGTGTTAACTATAGTCATCACAATGTACACTACATCCCTGGTACTAACTTATCTTACAACTGGAAGTCTGTACTTTTTGACTGCCTTCATCCAGTCAGCTCCTGACTTCCTATACTCGGCCTGCTCCCAGTAACCACAAATCTGACCCCCCCCCTTTTTTTGGTTTGTTTTAATGATTTTGGGTCTTTAAAAAATATTCTATCTGTAAGT